CGATGGACGGCCACCTGCACAACACAGTGGCTACATATGCTATGAGTGTGGCAAGATCCTAAAAACTCTGGGAGCATGGAAGCGCCATCGCACCATGGAGCACATCGGCTACGACCTCCCCGAATTGCTCGCCCGTTCGACAACCTGCCCTGGGTGCGGGAAGGACTTCATAACGCGATCGCGTATACTCAAGCACCTGAGAAGGTGCCCCAGGTGCCTGGCTGTACTCCAAGCAATTGAAGTCCCAATGGATTTGCAGGAGGCAGTCGAACGCCGAGAAGAGGAACGAGAGGCTGTGGCGACGAGGAAGGCAATGGGTCATGGAGCTACAAAGGCGCTGGTGCCCGCCCAACAGGTCATACACATCAAGCTTGCCGACCGCATCGAACAGCATCAGCTCCAGCTCTCGCCGGCGCCGCCTGCAGCAGCGGCCCCTCAACCAGCGACGCCACCTGCAAGTGCATTCGCACCGTGCAGGCCCATGGTTACTACGGCTATATTCTTACTGCACCTTTTCTCAGGCAGACGCCGAACCGAGAACTTCCAGCACCACTTCGAGATGAACACTCGGGAATGCAATTTGGTAGTATTATCGATCGACGTGCAGATAGACCCCGACAAAGGAGACCTGACGAAGCCAGACGTCGTCGAGTTTTGGCGCGCGGCGATACGACCGGGCAAAATATTTGGCATTGTTGCTGGCCCCCCCTGCGAGACGTGGTGCTCATCGCGCTGGCATGCCGCCGAGGGAAAAGCTCCACGGCCACTACGTACACACGACTTCCCCTGGGGCGTACAAGCAGCCAATCAAGCGGAGCGTCAACAGATCGCACTAGCCAACGAGCTATACAGGACAGCTCTACTACTCATCACCACTGGCTTGCAGTACAATGTATCCGCCGTGCTCGAGCATCCCGCTCCAGCCACTTGGTGTCCTCAAGCGCCGAGCAGCTGGCAGCGAGCGGAGACGCTCTGGCTTTTGGAGCAGACGAGCGTCGAACTGCACTACATAGACCAGTGCCAGTTTGGGCAGGCCGCGCGAAAGCCAACATGCCTGATGGCGGTACACCTCAGTGAACTTACACAGGAGCTGGGGGCGGTACCTGGGGGACAGCTATGTCGACATAACGGACATGACAGAGCTTACGGACGAGACGGCCGAGGCGGCTGGAGGACCGCCCCCCTCAAAGAATATCCTTCAATGCTGTGCAAGGCAATGGCAAATGCATTCGCAGCCCACTGGGGGCAGCTCGCTGACGAAGAGGCAATGTGGGCCGAAACGGATGAATGCTATCACAGGTTCTACGCCCCCCTGGACTACTACATCGAGCCAGAGCAGCTGGGCCACGACTGTCACAGGACATGGGGTATCCAACGGCGCTAGCAGCTGACACTGCAGTTGCGGCACTACGTTTGCCTGCACAGATATTCGGGATTAATTGTTTCAGGATTATTCATACTTGCCAGTCCATGGAAGGGACCATCAGGTTGCAGCGTGGTGCACAGACTATTGGCATCTTACAGATTGGAGGGCAGTTTGTATTACAGAATGGCGTACAGTTGGGTAATATTTCAGAGTAGCAGCAGGCGCGATAGCATCAGTGCACCTACTGTATGTACTCAAGACCCGCGTTACTATTGGGTTATTGGCACGGCTTCGTCTTGGACAGCGATTGCGTGCCATACTCGAGGGGGGGGGACCCGTAGCGCCCATGCGGGTGGGCACGATCCCTCAATGGCGACGGAGCGTGCCCCCCCCTCGAGTACTTTCTGGATTTTATTGGCTTTCTTTCAACCCTGGCATTCACTTCTATGATTATCCAGCGCCCTGGACAAGAGCAGTATGGATACGGCAGTATATTCGCGGCAACGAGCTTCCTCGGAGACAGGCACTACGGCGTCATGGGTTAAGTCCTGAGGAAGCCCCGAATGCGTGGGAAGACCTCAGGCAGCGTTGTCAAGTTTTGCTTTGGTTAGGACGCAAGTCCTGGGGAAGCCCCGAATGCGAGGGGACACCCCAGGCACAAGTCGCTACGTTTTGCTGTGAGTATCCTGGCGGCGACTGGCTACCTACAACTCGGAGGACACCAGCTGGCTGGCAGCGGGCGGTCCACACGTCGCCGTCGTACTACTGACCGACATCGACAGCATACCCAGCACGACCCCGCACACCTCTTGTCAAGTCAACGCTGTCCTGGTGAGGATCAAACTTCGAGACGGGCTCGAAGGGCGGGGGGGAAGGACGAGTACTTCCCGCGCCCACCAGCGGGGATGGTGAGGGGCAGGGGGGGTAGGACGGCCACTACCTGCGCCCCCGCGGTCCGCCCTAGCTCGCCACCCCCACCATTCCCATGGAGAAGGAGGAGCTACCCGAGCGCCCGAGGGCGAAGCACAGGACAGCCGAGACATCCCACTCCGACGATAATAAGTACCAGGCCTGGGGTTCGCCCCCGCCGAGGGCACTGTGACCCCTAGCCATAGCGGGACGAGGTGGGACAGCCAAGACCCCCACTTGAAGTCGGTGCATGGAGGCCTTGGAGGCCCACAACCAACGCAACACCAGCAACGATCCGACCCCCCAACGACCCGACCAGCACGCTCCACATCCTACACTCAGCCCTACAAACGACCGCCACCCACAACCCCCAAGATCAGCGCCCTCCTGTACTGCAGAGGCGGGGGCGGCATGAATGAGGACATCGGATACTACGGCTAGTCGAGTACCAGGACGACCAGCATGACTGGACAGGATTACGCAGGAGTGCCAACCCGCCCAGCACGACTGGGGCGAGGGATACAAGTTCGAGCACCACAGTGTCAAGCAGCACTGCAGGCTCGAGCACATCATGGACTACTCGAAGAGAAGGGGCAGCGAGCCCCTCGGCGAGGGATACACAGCGCCAGGCGCCGAAGGGTGCATCCCCGTCGCCCTCGCGTGGCATGCGAGGGGCCGAGGCCAGCCGGCCCTGATCGGCATGAGGACGAGAGCAGCCGCTGCAGACTTGCTGGAGCCCACGAGCGGCTCGGCGAGCCTCCACAGCGCGCTGCGCCGAAAGGTGGAGGCCGCCGCAGCTGGGGGCAGCCAGCCACCCGAAGACCCCGCGGCGGCTGGGCTCAGCGCGAGGCGCCGAAGGGAGCCCAGCCGCCACCACGCGGCCGCCAGCCCACGAAGAGGCCGTCGGCCTGGCCGTGCGCCGTGCCGCGCTGCCTGACGCCCGCGGGCGCGGGCGCGCGCGGCGCCCGCCCATGGGCCCTGACGGGCCCCCTTTTTTGCTGAAGCCCGGCCCCCTTCTCTCTCCTCTGAGGTTTAACTTGGTCCCTGGTTCCCCCCGCTCTCCTCGGGGTCGGGTTCCCGGGGCCGCTGTCCGAGTGCCCGCGCGGCCCTGAAGGGCCGCTGCGGCGCGCTCCGCGCCCGCGGGGCGCGCGACAAGACGCTGCATAGCGAGAAATGTAGAAATGTAGGAGGAGGTGATGGGCAGGCTCCGTCGGAAGATCCCCCCCTCTCACCTGGATGAATACACCATCCAGAGAAACCCTGACCCTTCGCATTCACCAGTCTGGGCTTCCTGTGGGAGCCTCGCCGTCGCGGCCAGGTTCGCCTCGAGCCCCCGGTCAGAAGGCAGCGCCCCGTGATTCGCCAGAGGGGGGTATTGGGGGCAACGCCGGGGGTGGGGTAGGCTCTTCGGGGGTCGGGGTCAACGTCAGGGAGGCACGAGGTGCTTCGAGATTCGAGGTTGCCGACTGACGATGTTGTCGGTTCTCGTCGGCTTCCAAGCCTAGGGACGCCTTTGCGTCTCGCCGAGAGCGTTTTAGGGGTGCCCGGATCCTTCCGACGGCCGCTGGAGAGCCGAGCTGTGACCCCAGAGCCAGGGGGCAACGTTACGGGTGGACCGCGCAGGGGGGAGCGCATCGACCCACAAAATCGCCCCTTCTCATCGCCGACACGGGCCCGAGAGCCTGTCCAGCCCAGGAGCGCGCGGATCCGCTGTCGTGGGCCAGTCGCCGAACCACTGGGCGATGCACTGCGGGGCCGATGCTTCCCACCCCCCCCCTGAGTGGGCCCCCCCCCGTCGTCGCCCCTCAGCCCTGGACCTCCACGGACGTACCCCGGACTTCCCCTGTTTTTCCTCAGACTTCCTGTGGCTTTTGAAGTGCTATCCCCCGCCGAAGTTTCCATGGGAGTTCCCAGGCTTAGCGCAGCGAAGACCTTGCGCCGACGGACGTTTGTGACCTGCTCAAGGCCACCAGGAGGTTCGTGAGGCTTCTCGGGGGGTCATTCGATCATACAGCGGAGACCCATGCCACGAAACACCCCGCTTGCCTCCAGGGTGCCCTGGGTTTCTTGGGTTTCGATGGTCTTGCTATGGAGAGCGTGGCGTTCCCACACCAAACACTCATGGACATCCTGGGGTCTCAGGGTTGGGTTTCTCGTGGACGGTCTCTCGTGGAGGGGCCCCTGCTGTGACCTTGATGCCAAGATGCCACGCTGCGCGCCCGCGCGTGCCTACCAGCGTGTCCCCCGTCGCTGCCCCTCAGAGTGTCAGAGGCAACAGTGGGGGGGAGGAGGAGGAGGAGGAGGAGGAGGAGGAGGAGGAGGAGGAGGAGGAGGAGGAGGAGGCTCGGGGATGGGCCGAAGGGAGGACGCACCGACCTCCAACCGCCCACCCATCGCGGATGTGGCTCCGACGGCCCGCCTCTCGCCCAACAGCGTGCGCGGCTCTGCCCTCGGGGGCCCTCCTCGCCGATCCACCGGCGACGCATCGCCGCTTCCAGCTCGCTGTGCCCCCACGGAGCTGGTCTCGTTGACCCTGAGAGTTCAGGAGGGGAAGAAACACACAGACACAATTAATCCTCGATTCCCTAGAAAATATGGGAAAGTATGGGCAGTGGGGGGGAAGACAAAAGCCCAGAAAATATGGGAAAATATGGGGACTATATTTATTTGTGTGTATTTATTTGTGTGTCCTAATTTCCCTTTGAGAGTGGCGGCATCCCCGGAGGCGCGCCGCAGCGGCCTGCTGCGGCTCCTGCCGCCGCTGCTGGCCCGCGGCCCGTCCGCATACGTGGGCGTGTCCGCCGGCGCGATCCTGGCGGGGAGCACCTGCGAGACGGCGCACTGGAATCCGACCAAGAACCAAATCTGAAAGAAGAAAGAACGGCACAAGCTCAGAGTCATGAAGTCGGGCGAAGAGAACTATGCACATGCACCGATCCTGGCAAGGTCCATCCTTGACCCAGGATCGGTGCATATGCCTTCCTGGCCAAGGTAGGAGGGCGTATGCACCGATCCTGGGCTCAGGATGGGCCTGGCCAGAATCGGTGTATGTGCATAGTTCTCTTTCCTCTATGAAGGAGAAGCGAAGTTGACTCACCTTCCCCATCCTCGCTTCTCCGCGCGGCCCGCGCGTGCGCCTTGCAGCACGGCCGCGGCCATGTCGGAGTCGAGAGTGGGACCGCCTGCGTGAGCCAAAGTAAACGTTCGGCGGTCCGCGCACACCTCAGGGATCGGCGCTGGGCACCCCTGCCGGCGCTTCCGGCGCCGCCCCTGGCGCGCTCCGCGCGGGAGGGGGCCCGGCGCAGACCCAAGACTAGGGGGCCACATGCGAACCCTACCCCTACCCCCCGCGATTTCTGAGGGGGAGGGTGGGGTTCACTTCGTTCGGGAGGTCACGAGCGAAGTGAACCCCACCCTCCCCTCAAAAAATCGTGGGGGGGGTAGGGGTAGGGTTCGCATCTGGCCCCCTAGAGACTCCGCGCGGGCCGCCGAGAGACGATGCTTGTGCCGCTGTTTCTTCCCCTGCAGACGACACCACCCCACCCGCGACCCGCCGTGTCGAGTTGGCCGCGCACTCGTTTCGGAGATGCCTCGGCCCCCGTGAGATGACGCGCCGAGGCTGCACGGGGCGAGTGCGTAAATGTTCAACTCTTCCCCCTCCTCCTCCTCCTCCTCCTCCTCCTCCTCCTCCTCCTCATCCTCGTTCCTCCTCGCTCCTCCTCCTCCTCTTCCTCCTCCTCATCATCATCATCATCCTCGCTCCTCTTCGCTCCTCCTCCTCTTCCTCCTCCTCGCTTCTCCTCCTCCTCGCTCCTCCTCCGCCGCTGGGTCGTAAGTGGGGTTGGGTCGTTTGCTTAGTTGTCTCGATACTCCCGTATTGAAACGCAACACGTCCCGTGTTCAAGACGTCCGTGTCAATACGTTGCGTGTTGACTCCACGTATTGGCCCACGCTTTGGCGAACGTATCGCGTCGGACCTACGTTTCCAGTCCACGTGTTGAGCTCCGTATCAATACGCGACGTGTTGCGTGTTGCGTATCGAGGCAGCTAAGGTCGTTTAGTCTCTGGTTCAGGAAGGGCTGGGACGATCCCGCGGTGGTGCCCGATCTGGAGGATCGGCATGGGTGCGGAAGAATGGGCACGACCGAACACCAGATCTCACATGGTATGATGTTTCAATCCTGGTGCTTTGCGTGAAGTTTTGGGCCCGATGGCCGTCAAAAACGGACCCAGGGCGAAAAACTGAACCCTGGGAAGGGGTCGTGACTTCTTGGGCCGCGCATTGAAGCAAAACATCTCGTCGGTGGTCTGGGAATGGGTGCGGAAAGCAGGGTGTCGAAGGTTGACAGCAGTTCCTGCCGATTTTCAGCGGTGCTCGCTGTCGGCGTCGCCGCAGACGTGGTCCACTTGAGTCAGACATGTCGGAGGACGCTGTCGGTTGCACACTGCACTTGCTGCTGGGCATCGTCTCCGTTTTGTGTTGGTTAGTTTTGTTGTTGTCGTCGTCGTCGGCGTCGTTATTGTCGTTGTTGGCGTTGCTGTTATTGTTTGTTGTTGTGTATGTTGTTTGTTGTCTGTTGTTTGTTGTGTGTGGTTTGTTGCTTGCTGATTGCTGTTTGCTGTTTGTTGTTTGTAGTGCTGTGTGTTGTGCGTTGTGTGTTGTTTGTTGTGTCTGTTTATTCGTTGTCGTCTGTTGATTGGTGATTGTTGATTGTTGTTTGTTGTTTGTTGTTTGTTGTTTGTTGTTATTGTGTATGTTGTTTGTTGCTGTTGTTATTGTTGTTGATGTTGTCGTTGTCGTTGTCGTTGTCGTTGTTGTTGTTGTTGTTGTTGTTGGTGGTAGTGGTGGTGGTGTTGTTGTTGTTGTTGAAGTTGTTGTTGTTGTTGTTGTTGTTGAACATTATTACTTCTAAAGAATAATTATTGTTGGGACCCCTGGTGCACGGCCCCCTCGCCGCGCCTAGGCCGCAGCCATGTTTTCATCATTTTCGTGAGGAAGTCTCCGGCAAAACGGGTTGGTCCGGATCCGGTTGTTTTGTTACGGGCGGTTTTCCCTTGCAAAAAATAAGGCAAAGTGGACATTTCTTGTTCTAACATAACCAAACTTCAAGAATCCCTTGCAAAAAATAAGGTAAAGTGGACATTCGCGCGCGCAAGACGAAATCCTTCCAAAACCTTAGTGTTCGTAGCGATTTTAACATAAAAACATCAAAAAACCAATGGTTTTTCAACAAAAAATGTCAAAATTTCATCCCGCGCGCTCTTGCGGATTCGTAGGAAACCCAACACTTTTTAAACATTTCTGTCAAACGGGCTTTTGCGAGCAACTTTTTCGAACTTCTGCGACAACGGTTGCGCACCTGCCAGGGCCATCATCCCTGTCAAATAATACCATGCGGGACACATTCGTTTTTTCTTAAAATAATACCAGTACAGGTGTCCAGTGTTGGAACAGGGGGAAAAGTCGTATACTAAGCTAGCGTCCAGAAAATGTTACCACAACAAGTCACTGTACCCATGCGCCAGTGTAGTAGCCACGGTCGTCCGCAGGCCACGAAGTGAAGTGTCCGAACGTCATAGGGCGGGAAGCTGGGTGTGGGTGGTGGCGAAGAGTCGTTTGGAAATTTGGTAGAGCTTGAACCGGCCCCCCCACAAAGTGGGGGTATTGCCCGCCTCCTATGAAAACCCTGGCACTGGTGAGAACGGAGTGTCCCCACGTGCTAGTAATTGTTGTTGTTGAACATTATTACTTCTAAAGAATAATTATTGTTGGGACCCCTGGTGCGCGACCCCCCTCCAAAACCTAGGCCGCAGCTACATTTTCATCATTTTTTAGCGAAAGCTTCAGAAAAGTGAATTATTACCGGATCCGGTTGTTTTGTTGTACTCCGTTTTCCCTTGCAAAAAACACTATAAAATGAAAATTCTTGTTCTTACTTGATCAAATTGCAAGAATCCCTTGCAAAAAATAAGGTAAAGTGGACATTCGTGCGCGCAAGACGAAATCCTTCCAAAACCTTAGGTTTCGTAAGCGATTTTAACATAAAAACATCAAAAACCCAATGGTTTTTTAAATAAAAAATTGTCAAAATGTCCTTCCGCGCGCTCTTGCGGATTCGTAGGAAAACCAACACTTTTTAAACAATTTTGTCAAACGGGCTTTTGCGAGCAACTTTTTCGAACTTCTGCGACAACGGTTGCGCACCTGCCAGGGCCATCATCCCTGTCAAATAATATCATGCGGGACACATTCGTTTTTTCTTCGCGCGCGCACGCCGAAATCTACAAAAACCATTGGGTTTTTTAAGAATTTTAGCACCGCGCATCATAAAATCACACGAATCGCACCGTAGGTCCTCGAAAAACAGCTGCACGACTTTTCAAAATTTCCCCCCGCGCGCGCTGTCCGAATCCTCAAAAAACCAATGGTTTTCCAACATTTATGTTACATGAGCTCGCGCGCAAGACCAACAAAAAACACGACGATCTCAGGAACTTGCCCCAAAAATGTGACCAACTCCGCTCTCTCTGTCTCTCTCTCTGTCTGCTCTCTGTCTCTCTCTCTGTCTGTCTGTGTCATGTATTGTATGTCACAATTGCAGGATGCTGGGCACACGCGCGCCCCGAATAAGTGACCAAGTTCTGTGGGTGTGTACCCCACGCCAGTGTAGTAGCCACGGTCGTCCGCACGCCACGAAGTGAAGTGTCCCAACGTCATAGGGCGGGAAGCTGGGTTTGGGTGGTCGCGAAGAGTCGTTTGGATATTTGGTAGAGCTTGAACTGCCCCCCCACGAAGTGGGGGTATTGTCTCGCGTCGCATGAAAACCCTGGCACTGGTGAGAACACTGAGCGTTCGGGTAAAATGATTGTTGTTGTTGTTGTTGTTGTTGTTGTTGTTGTTGTTGTTGTTGTTGTGGTTGTTGTTGTTGGTGTTGTTGCTGCTGTCGTCTGTGCCCATGCCGGCCGTTGGGGCCCCAGGCCTTCTTGGCCGAGCCCCTCCGCGGCCTCGGCCTCGTCGGGGCCGCCTTCCCGCACTTCGACCAGGAGCTCTGGGGCCCCCTTGTCGAGAGGCGGCCGGGAGGCGTGGAAGCTGGCTGGCGTGCAGCCCCAGAGATCGGAGGCTCCCAGAGCATTGGGGCGGGCTCTGGGCTATTTGCGGTCTCCGCCCTCAACGGGCCCCGCCAAGAGGCTCGGGACGAGAAGCGTGCCCCAGGGAGGTTGTCCGCACCTCCGGGGGTCCAGGCATCGTAAGCACAACAAGGGTCCCCGCCATGGCAGACTACGAAGAAGAAACAACCGCATGACCCCAACTTTCGGAGGTCCGCGCGGATTTCTTGGATTGGCGCCAGGGCCTTCTGGTGGCGCCTCCAGCGCCGATGCAAGAAATCCGCGCGGACCTCCGAAAGTTTCTGTTTACAGGTTCTTTTCTTATCTCACCAGATCCCCCCCCTTCTTCGCGCTTTCGCAGATGCTGGACCCTTCTCCTCGTCGGGGTCGCCCGAAAAGTCCAGACCCCCCCTTGGACCAGATCCGAATGCGTTTCGCAATGATGGTGGTGGTGATAAGAGCGGTGGCAACGGCGGTGATGATGCCAATCACGTCAATCATAGTGGTGACTTGGCAGTCGTGTGGTATCACATTCGAGACTGCGCGCATTGCGAGGGCTGGGATTGGGGAGTCTAGACCAGGGAAAGTGTTGGGATCACTGGGTCGCCATTTCGTGGATGACCTGGTATGGTGGTGTTGACATTTCCACTGTGTATACGACTGCCAGCAACGACTGGAGCTCATTACTGCTCGCCACGCCCGTGTGGGCCGAAAGGTTGTGTACAGTCGGCCCAGATGAGTAGGTCGACCCTGCCAAATCAAGGGTGCCCTCGCGTCCCGTGTTTCTCGACCAATGCCTTCTGCATTCCCGTGGCAGCGTGGCCCTCGGAAGCGTCTTGTGTCCTCTCGCGTGTCCTCTCCAATCGATCCCGACTGTATGGTCTGCGCAACGGGAGCACTCATGACAACGGAGTCGATGACGACTGCGACAACGTTGAGGAGTTGCCGTGCCGGACTGCTGGCGTTAAGTCGGGCCTGTCCCTCTACAGGGGAAATATTCAAAAATAGTCAAAGAAACAGTATGGGGACTATTTTCTGAGTTTTGTTTGCACCATTTTGGAGTTTTGTCTGTGAGTATTTTTAATTTTTCGCCCAATATTCTCTATAGGGGGACACGCCCGATTTAATGCTGGCGGCGACAGGCACAATGAGGGCGGTGACGATGACCATGGCTCTCCGAGCGGCGAGACGCGCGAAGACCACGGGAACGGCCACGAGAGTCTGCACGAACACCGAGGAGGAGAAGGAGGAGGAGGAGGAGGAGGAGGAGGAGGAGGAGGGGGAGGAGGGAGGAGGAGAAGGTCGAGGAGGAGAAGCCGGTCTGATACACGAAAGCGTGGGAAGAGTGGATCGGCGCATTCTGATTCATGGCTGTCGCCCTTGCCTTGCGCTGTTTCCGCGGTCGCCCCGCAGCGCCGCGTGACGCCCGCCCTCTGCTCTCGGGGGTTGTCGGAGAGACTCAGTTGCAAGAGCGTCCACCTCCATGCTGGAGGCGGAGGCACTCGAGCGGTTCTGGGGAGTGTGGCTAACAAGCCGGACCCCCCCTCGTCCCACCTCCTCATCAGGGCCGCTTCTTCATCCGGAGCCCCCTTGGAACGGGCCCCGGGCCTGGCGAGGGACCCCAGGGGCCGACCACTTGCTCGGAAAGGCCCGTCGTGCTCTCGTTCATGACGCGAACATGTTTGGGCGTACGCCGAGGTACCGGTACCGCTACTCCCCAGACCTCTCCCGGGGTGCGTTCTGACCAGAGTTCCGAGAAGGATCCAGCCGTGGCGCCCGCGGTGTTGGCCTGCGGCCTTCCCCCGCGAGAACGAGCCCACACGAGGGCAGGGCAGCGGCATTGGTACCTTCCTCTCCTCGCCGTTCTTCTTTCTCGACAGCCTGAACCCCCCCCACGATCCCCGGGTCCCCCCGGGCCAGCCTTCGACGACGACGACGACGACGACGACGACGACGACGACGACGACGACGACGACGACGAGGCGGAGGGGACGCACACCTCCCCACGCAGGCGGAGGGGGGAGCTCGCCGAGCCCGCGGGCCTGCACCTGGTGCCGGACAGGGGCGGGGCGCTCGTGCTGCAGGTGGCGTGAGGCCCCCCCCCCGCTGGCGAGAGCGGGCCGCACCCGCGAGCGGGCCAGCGAAAAGGAGCGCAGGTGCCTCCACTCCCCCATCTGCATCACCTCTCCCCTCCTCCTCCTCCTCCCCGCGTCTGAGGACGCGGGAGGAGGAGGAGGAGGAGGAGGAGGAGGAGGAGGAGGAGGCAAGGAGGAGGAGGAGGAGGCAAGGAGGGGAGGAGAGATGCCGCTGTTGACGAGGGCGAGGATGAGGATGAGAATGAGGCTGTGGATGATGATGATGATGATGATGATGATGATGATGATGATGATGATGATGATGATGATGATGATGATGATGACGACGATGATGAAGCTGCTGATGATGATGGTGGTGATGCTGATGCTGATGCTGATGCTGATGATGATGACAACTGATAATGAAGAAGATGATGATCACGATGCTGATGCCGATGATGCCGATGATGATGATGATGATGATGATGATGCTGATGATGATGATGATGCTGATGCTGATGCTGATGCTGATGCTGATGCTGATGCTGATGATGCTGCTGATGATGCTGCTGATGATGCTGATGATGATGCTGATGCTGATGATGATGCTGATGATGGTGATCATGATGACGATGATGATGATGGTGATGATGATGATGATGATGATGATGATGATGATGATGATGATGATGATGATGATTGTGTCGCGCCGACGGGGGTGGCAGCGCGGGCCTGGACCCGAGTGGCCAGGCCTCGAGAACTACACGTATCCGTTTTGTGCGATATGATGATGATGATGATGATGATGATGATGATGATGATGATGATGCTGTTGGTGATGATGATGATGATGCTGTTGATGACGACGACGATTATGATGATGCTGATGACGATGAGGATGGTGGTGGCGATGGTGACGGTGATGGTAATGATGATGATGATGATGGTGGTGATGGTGATGGTGATGGTGATGATGCTGATGATGATGATGAAGATGATGCTGATGATGACGATGTTGATGTTGACGATGATGACAATACTGCTCTGTGCGATGATGGCGAGTACGATTGCGGTGATGACGATGGCCATGAGGAGTATGTCGATATACCATGCTACGAGATGCGAAGCTACGCGTTTGTTTTGCTATGGCATGTCATGTTTTGGCATGGTATTATGTAGCATGCCATGGTAGGACATGACGGAATAGTACGACAGCGAAGATGATGATGATGGTGATGCTGATGATGAGGTTGATGATGTTGATGGTGATGATGATGATGTTGTTGATAATCTTTATATTGGTGTCGATGCTGCTGTTCGCGACGATGCATACGGATATCGTCATGGCGAGTGAGATGTAGATGCTGATGCTGATGATGAAGCTGCTGCTAATGTTGATGACGATGACGATGATGATGACGATGATGATGATGGTGATGGTAATTACAAAAATGATGATGCTTAAAATGATGTTGCTGATTATGATGCTGCTGATGATGAGGATCGATGATGATGCTGATGATGATGGTGATTATGATAATGCTGATGATGATGCTGGTGATGATGATGATGATGATGATGATGATGATGATGATGCCGAGGCTCATGATGATGATGATGATGATGATGCTGATGCTGATGATGATGATGATGATGATGATGATGATGATGATGATGATGATGGTGGTGACGAGGGTGATCGAGGTGGTGATGCCGATTTGGATGGTGGTGGCGGTAAAGAGGATGAGGGGGAGTCGGAGGAGGAGGAGGGGGACGACCAGGAGTAAGGGTACGAAAGAGAGAGAGAGAGAGGGAGAGGTTCCCCTTGTCGGTCCCATCCCCATTGTCTCCCCCGCCCCCTCTTTGGCCTCTCCAGTCCCCGACCTCCACCCCTCCTCCCTTCTCCTACCTCCGCTTCTCCTCGCCTGCCTGCTCCCTTTCCCTTCGCCTCGCGGTCGTCCCTCGCCGCGACTCGTCGAGGGCGCCACGCGCGGTTGCTGCCGGTGGCCTGGGCGGTGGCCGCGGAGGGATGGAGGAGAACGCCGATGTCGATGTCGATGTCGGTGATGACGATGGCGGCACTGACGACGACGACGACGACGGCGACGACGGCGGCGGCTGCGGCGGCGGCGGCAACGGCGGCTGCGGCGGCGGCGGCTGCGGCGGCTGTGGCAACGGGACGACGACGATGACAGTGTCGAGGGTCGAGGATGACGAGAATGACGATGATGAGGATGGTTGTGGTGATGATTATGATGATGATGGATGATGATGATGATGATGATGATGATGCTGATGCTGATGCTGATGCTGATGCTGATGCTGATGCTGATGCTGATTCTGATGATGATGCTGATGATGATGACGATGCTGATGCTGCTGATGATTGTGATGCAGAGGTTCATGATTATGATGCGAATGGTAATGATGATTACGATGTCGATGACGATGACGATAATGATGGTGATCATGATCCTGTTGCTGCTGATGGTGGCAATGAGGATGCTGCTGCTGCTGATAAGGATGATTCTGGTACTGATGCGGATGCTGCGGATAAAGTTGATGATGCAGATGCTGTTGATGATGATGCGATGCTGCTGCCGATTATGACAATGACGAGGCTGCTGATGATGCCGACGACGATGATGACGGCGATGAGAAGTATCAGGATCATGATGATTATTGTGACGATAATTATGATGATGATGATGATGATGATGATGATGATGATGATGATGATGATGATGATGATGATGACGACGACGGTGCTGGTGATGATTACGATGATAATGATGAGCATGGTGATTTCGATGGAGAGAATGGAGATGATAGAGATCGACGCTGACAAAGCTGGCGAGGATGGTGGTGGTGGTGCCGATGTTCGTTATATACTGATTGGCGTTGGTCATGGTGAAAACGACGATGCCGATGCCGATGTTGATGCCGACGAGGATGGTGTTCTTTGTGAGGATTGCGGTGGTGACCGTTCTTAGTCAAGTCACGGCGATTACAAGGACGATTGTGATGATGACGTTAATGGCGATTGCGATGGTGATGCCGATGGCGATGAGGACGAAGACGATGACGAGGAAGATGATGGTCATAGTGATGTTGATCCTGATGCTGATGCTGATGATGGTGGTGATGATGATGATGTTGATGATGATGATGGCGATGGTGATGGCGCTGTTGGGTATGATGACGGCGATGTGAGATGGTGCTGGTGATGATGGCGATAAGTATGGGTAGCAGTGACGCTTGTCATTGCGACGATGAGGAGGAGAAGGAGGAGGAAGAGGACTGAGGGCGGGTTGGTGAGGGTGGTGGAGGGAGAATACGCTTGATCGAGGAGGGAAATCGGAAGGAGGCAGGATGGAGCAGGGACATGGCATGAAGGACAAGCAGGAGGATGATGGGGCGGGGAACATGCAACATTGGGAGCCAGAGGGGTAGTAGCAGCAGCAGGGACATCGGGAGCAGCAGGGCGGAAGGACGATGGGGCAGGATGGGGCTGGATGAGAAGAATGAGCAGCATGTGGATGACAGGGAGTCGGACGCCGAGGAAGAGCAGGAGGAGGACGAGGCGACGGCCGAGGCGGAGCAGGGAGCAGCTACACGATGAGCTTTGGGAAGCCGCGATTATGACGAACATGGAGATCGAGAGGGTAAGGGTGATGTGGAGGCTGCGGGATAAGCATGGTGAGATATGGTTGCGTTGATGAGGGTGACCATTATCAAGGGCTCCCTCGAGGGCGCGAAGTTATTCGCGCTTCGCGCTTCGCGGTCCTCGTTCCTTCTCCCCCTCCTCCTCGTCCTCCTCTTCTCCCTTTGGGAGGGCGGCGCGAGAGCGCGAAGTTATTCGCGCTTCGCGCTTCGCGCAGCGCGAAGCGCGAAGTTGGGAGCCCTAGGTAAGGGTGATGTGGAGGCTGCGGGATAAGCATGGTGAGATATGGTTGCGTTGATGAGGGTGACCATTATGTTATTTGGTCTGATGGGGATGGGCAGATAAGAAGGGGGATGATCATGCAAGGAAGAACGAGTATGAGTATGACGATGCTACTGATGAGCGTGATGATGCAGATGATGAGGAGGAAGAGGTGGATGAATCCGAGGGGGATGATGCAGAAGGATGTGGAGGAAGAGAAGCGGAAAACAAGGAGGACCAGCATGGGGATACCTTCCTCGCCAGTAGCGCACGCGTGCGGGGTCAGGGGTAGTGTGTTAGGCTGCCAGGGTATTCGGGTTAGGGTGCTTAGGGTTATGTGATTGGGTTTAGTGTGTTAGAGTTGTGGTTCGGGTTTTCCGGTACGGGTGCGAGGGTTCGCTCCCACACTTTGACCATTGCTTCCCTCTCACCCCCGCACGCGCCATCCGCGTATGGATCGGAAGCGGGGGATGGGGGGGGTCCGAGACGGCGGCCCAGGGAAAAGGGGGGGGGGGCGGAGGAGGAGGAGGAGGAGGAGGCGGAGGAGGAGGAGGAGGATGGATGGAGGAGGGATGGATGGATGGATGGATGGAGGAGGAGGATGGAGGAGGAGGATGGGGGGCGGCCCATGGAGGAGGAGGATGGTGGGGGGGGCGGGGTCCAGCGTCCACCCCTCCCCTGGCGCACCCGCCACCGCCCCGAACCAGCCCAGCTCGCGCGACGCGCAGCCGCGGACCTGCGCGCGCGGAGGGCCCCGCACTCCGACGCGCGGGCGGGGAGCGCGTCGGCCTCTGCGCCCCATGCCAGAGTGGAGGAGCAGCGGGAGGGTACACACATCGGAGGAGGAGGAGGAGGAGGAGGAGGAGGAGGAGGAGGAGGGAGGAGGAGGAGGGGGGGGGGGGAGGGGAGGAGGAGGAGGAGGAGGAGGAGGAGGAGGAGGAGGAGGAGGAGAGGAGGAGGAGGAGGAGGAGGAGGAGGAGGAGGAGGAGGAGGATATCGAAAACGAAAAGCCGGCGTAAGCAAAAAGTTCCAGCGCTCCGCGCGGAATTGTGTGATCTGTGCTGGGACGCCCGCCGGTGCCTCCGGCGCCGCCCCTGGCGCTCTCTGCGCGCCAGGGAGGGGGTCCCAGCGTGAATCCAAGAACTCCGCGCGGACTTCCCAAGCTTCATGTTGTGCAGTTTACCTTCGCCGAGACCATGCTGGCCGAAGCACGGTGCGCAGAGCCAGCGATAAGTCGGGCACGTCCCTCTACAGGAGGAATATTCAAAAATAGTCCCAAAATAGTTTGGGGACAATTTCTTGATTATTTGACGATTTTTTTGTGCGCAATTTTTGTAATGTTTAAGATGGTTCGTCCATAATCCGCCTGTAGGAGGATATCCCGACCTAAAGCACGCGTCGGACGGACTGGTGCCGGAGAGCGCCTTGGCGTGGGCAGGCCGCGATGGAGTCGACGAAGAATTGCCGAGGGGAAGCGGGCAGAGGAGTCACGAAGGGGGTGGGGGTCCGTGTGGAGCGGTGGGGGGGGGGCCTCCATGAGCTCCTCCCCCCCCCCTCCCTCCCTCCCTCACTCCTCCCTCCCTCCCTCCCTTCCTCCCTCCCTCCCTCCCTCCCTCCTCCCTCCTCCCTCCCTCCCTCCCTCCCTCTCCCTCCCTCCTCCCTCACTCCCTCCTCAGTCAACTTTTTGTGCATCTCGCATTGCATGCTATTCAGACACACCGGATTCCTGAGGCCACGGCCTCGCCCACCTGGTCTCTGCCAGGCCCAGACGACGTCCGCAGCGGTGGTCGTAGTCGTAGTAGGTGAGGGGCGCGGCCTGTCGCCAATGCTCGGCGACC